CTAATGCAGTCAATGACGGTTTCCTATCTCCAGCCACATTCATATCCAGCCCAAGTTGGCACACACTACACTGTGGGTTGCTTGAAAACTGCCTTAAGTGTTTGCCTGAACAGGGGAAGCCAGAGGCCAGCCTTCAGCCCCCTGCAGACATTCTTGGAATTATGGTAGTCCTTCCACCCCTCCTGCCCTTCCTGACAGCACAGCCCTTCTCCTGGCACTCTGCATTATTTTCATGAGAAGGCAATTTAGAAAGCTGCTGCTCTCAGGTTAGGGTTGTCTGGAGCCCCAACTCCTACTGAGTTCACAAGCAAACTTTCCCCCCTGCAGGGAGAAACTTTGTCCTACAGGGATGATGCCAGGGCTGCAATGTGCCCAGGGGCATCTCCTTGAGGTCTCAGACAGGGTGCCAAAAAAGAAAAAAAGAAGAAGAAGAAGCAAGAGCTTGAGATTCCCTGGGGGGCCAACTAGGCCCAGAGGGCCTGGACTTAGGGAGAAAGCAGGAGAGAGCCTTCCAGGTTGGGTACTGAAAGAGAGAGGAAGGGGCCTGAGAGACCTAAGGTCCCTCTGGGAGTCAGTGTGTGGAGCATCCTTCTGCACACCAGGACCAGCCAGCAGTTATAATAAGTTCCCACTTCAACAGACACTCTGCAGTTTGACCTTTGAAAGGGGAAATAGGGCTGGCCACTTTTCCAGGCCCTAACTCTGTCCTGGGAGTTCTTGGGTACCTGGGAACAAGTCTCTATCCTACCTGAGGTGAACAGGACTATGGCCTTGAGGCAGCTGTACTCGGCTGAATCGACGTGCAGTGCCTTGAGCTTCTCCACTTGCTCTTGGAAGATCCGTATGTGGTCCATAAAGGCGACCACCCGGTCGGCCGACATGGGTGAAGCGTGCAGGCCAGCAGCGGCCAGGAGCGGGGCGACATGGAGGGGCATGGAGCACTGCGCTGCATTCAACACGAACAGCTCGCTCCAGGTGAGGCGAAGAAGGGCCACCTGGTCCGTGATCTGCAGGTCAGGGAAGAAGGGGATGTTCCGGGCCCACTCCACGGCGCTGAAGAGCATCCGCGCGGCCAGTTCGCAAATGTTCTCGATGCCCATGATGTTGTTAGGCTGCATGCACTGGCTGCCGAAGCGAGACGTGGGGTAGGGTTCCGCACGCAGCAGCAGGGAGATATATCCGGACAGGTACGAGTGGCAGTTGAGGGGGTCCCCGTTGGTCAGCGCGAACTGCCCGTGGGTAGGCTGGGTGGGCGGCATCCTGCCCCTCTGTACAGCTGCGGGGAGGAAAGAAGACACTCCACAGTTAATGATCAGCCTTGGTCCTGCATCTTTATACAAGACCCCAACCGGTCCCAGGCCTCAGAACAGCGTCAAGAACCAGGCAGGCCTGCTACAGCCAGGCACCCGGCAACCACTCCTCACAAATCACCTCCCAGGCCGGCTCTGACCGCCAGAGCTCAACACTTGCCTGCGAGGCCCTTCCGGGAGCTGGTCTGCCGAGGACCCAGAATTGGTCACTTTGCCTCGGGGTCCCCGGAGCGTAATGTAGCATTCTGGGGGCACCTTTCTTTCTTCTCCCCCCCCTTTTTCCCCAGCTAAACAGCTGATATTTCTTATTGATTGGAGAAGGAACGGGAGCGGAGCGTAGGGGGAGGGCGAGACGCTTTTTTCACAAGACATCAAGATTTTACCCCAGATGACCAGTGGCCAACCCCCGAGCGACTGACCCCAAACCATGTAACCTCCACCCCAGTCCAGGAGAGAAACCCCGGCGAGAGACAGAGTCTAAGACCCGCGTTTTTGCCTGATCAGTGAGCTCGGAGGAGGGGAGACAAGAAAGAAGAGGGCGGAGAGAGAAAGAGAGGCCGGCAGAGACGAGAGGAAGCCGGAGAGAGGCAGGGAACCGGCGGCGGGCGCTGGCGGAGCCCGGGCAAGGCCCGTGACGGCCCGGGAAAGCCAGAGAGGCTGAGGCTCCTGCTGTTATCTGACTCTGAACCGAGAGAGTCGCTCTCGCAGAAACACAAAGAAACCCCGGCTTTGGCTCGCCCCAACCCGGAGCCCGCGCCCCGCGCAGAGCGCGCCATTGGTAGAGCACTGTTCCCGGCTCTGGGCGAATTTTATGTCACAAAGACCCAGCTGGTGCAGAGCGAAAGCAGCGGCCCAAGGCCCCTTGTCCACAGTTTCCTACTCCCTACAGTGTTCTCTTTTCGTTTCAAAAGTGAAAGGAAAAAAAAGAAAAGCAAGAGGTATTTTTTTTTAAAAAAGCAGAATGTTAATCCATAGAAGGGTCACATGAGTGCTGCCCAGGAGGCAGCGTTAATACGGCGAAGTGCATAAAATTGCCATTTGTAATTTGAACCTTCTGTACAAAAGTACAATCTCAGGTTGTTTTTTTTTTTTTTTTTGAGAAGGTGGGGGTTGGGGAGAGGGGTAAGGAGGAGGGACATATGTTGAACATGCAGGAAAAGCAAGGAAAGAGAGAGAGAGGACTTTAAAACAACAACAAACAACAATCCATCCCTTGCAGAAAGGTGAACTCAATGAACTCTCAATCAATGCACAGGAAAGGAAATGCAGCCTGAAGAGAGAGTGGAGAAGGAAAGTCTGCTAAAGCGTGCGGACTGGAGGATGGGGGCTGGGGGTGGTCAGGGTTGCTGTGCAAACCCTGCTCCTAGTACCAAATCCCCTCTGGCTGCAACACGGAGGGCTTGGGGCTTCTGTGTCCTTACCCAGAGCAGGCTAGCCAAATGCACCCAGGGCCCCGGGACCGCGGGCGAAGGGGGGAGAAATGAGAGGCCGATACCTTCCCGTCTCATGCCCACTTTGAGGCACTTTTTGAGGCGGCAGTACTGGCACTGGTTGCGGTGGTGCTGGTCGATGGGACAGTTCCGGTTGGCGCGGCACGTGTAGCTCAGGTTCCTCCGCACGCTGCGCTTGAAGAAGCTCTTGCAGCCCTCGCACGTGAACTGGCCGTAGTGCTTGCCGCTCGACTTGTCCCCGCACACCACACACTCGATGTGCTGCTGCTGCTGCTGCTTGTCGCTGCCGGGGCCGCCAGGGCCGCCCTGGCCGCCAGCCGCTGTCTGGGCCGGCGTGCTGGCCGGGCCCCCTTGGCCCGGCGTCTGTGGCGTGTGCGGGGCGCCAGGCGGCGGGCCCGGCACGGGCGGCGCCTGCGAGGCCTGGCTGCCCTGAGAGCCGGGCACCTCGTCCTGGGGGTCGCGCCACGTGCTGACTACCATTGCCATATCTATGGGGGCCGCGTCCGGACTTCTGCTCCCCTGGCTGCGGGCGGCGGCGGGGTGGCGGCGGCTCCCGGGTCTCGGGCTCCTGCGCGCCGCCTTTTGTGTGTGCGAGGGTGCGAGAGGGCGCGGGAGGGCGCCCCGGGTGGCTCAGGGCTAGTTGATTGAGGTTGGTTAGTTTTTCCTTTTTTGTTTTTGCTTTTGCAAAGTTTTGTCGATTGCTTGTCTGGCCCGGTGTGTTTGTTTTGTTTGTTTCCCTCGGCTCAGCTTTGTTGGTTTCGGGGGGCTTTCCGTCAAGAGGGGAGGGCAAGAGGACAGGGGAGAGCGAGTGGGAGCAGAACGTGGAGAGAGGGAGGGGAGGGAGAGCTGCAAGTCGATTGTCTGGCTTCAAGACAGAAGTAGGAGGCCAAAAAAAAAAAAAATCTCTCCAAAGATCTCGCTCGCTCTCACTCTCCCTCCCTCTCTCCCTCTCTGGTTCACTCTCTCGCTCTCAGATCTAGTGTGCAGCGGAGGAGTTGGAGGAGGAGGAAGAGGAGGAGGAGGAAGAGGAGAAGGAGAGGCGACTGTCCGGGGGCCAAGTCCAGGGCAGCCCACAGTCAGCCATTCAGGAAAGCCATCGAAATCAGAAGGACTGGGAGAGCGGAGGCGCCGGGCGCGGGCGCGCCCTGGGGGCCAGGCAGGCCGGGGCGGAGACCGGCGGCCCGCGAAGTGGCCGGAGCTCTGCCCGGGTCCGGGGGAATCAGCATGAAAGTGGTCCGCGTCCGGCGCTGCGCGGCGTCGTCCTGGCGCTGGGCCGCCGCCGCCTCCTGCCCCGGGCGCCTGGCGCGCGCCGCGCTCGCTCCGGACGCCGCCGCCGCCGCCGCTCTTGGAGGCCGCTCGCTGCTCCCCGTGGGCCGCCCGGGCCGCCGCCGCCGCCGCCGAAGCCTCCGGGTCGGGCCCGGAGCCGCCGCGTCTAGCGCCGCCGCCGCCGGTGGAGTCGCTGCTGCCGCTGCTGCTGCCGCCGGAGCTGCTGCTGCTGCTGCCGCCGCCGCCTCACACACATAGGGAAAGAGTCAACTCGCCGGCGGCGGGGGAGAGATGATAAGAGAGAAAGGAGGGCAGATCAGCACCTAGAAGCGCATCCTTCGTGCGCAGAGGGGGGAGAAACGGAGAGAAAGAATGAAAGAGGGAAGAGCTGCGCGGCACCCGGAGAAAGGAGGCAACTCCGGCAGAGGAGGAGGAGAAGAAAACACACACGCGCGCACGCACGCACACACCGCGGAGAGAAAAGAGCAGAATCAAAGTGATCAAATATGCTAAAAAGGGGGGCGCGGGAGGGAATGCGATTTATAGGCGCCGGGGCTGGCAGAAGTGGCTTCTCCGCGATCAGCTCACTGAGCTCTCTATATAGTGAACTTTGACACGACTGCTGCAACTTAGCGCACGTTACCATGGCGACGGCGCGCCTTATAAGGCAGCCGCCGGGGTTGGCCTGGCCCGGCGCGCGCGCGCCGCCCCCTCGCCGTCATTGGCCGGAGCGCGGCGGCCCCGCCATGGCGGCAGCGGGAGCAGCTCGGTCCTAGTGCGAGCGGTGTCGCCTGTGCCGCGCGGGGCGCGCGGGGACGGAGGGGGCGGGGACGGGTGGCCGCGCCGCCCAAGCCACCGAGCAGGGGGGGGGGGATGGGCCCGGGCGGGCCCCGGGAGCGCGGACCCCGCTCGCCCCGCACCCGGCACCCGGGGTTACCGCCCCGGCGGCTAGGCGAGCGCGCAGCGCACACACTACGCCTCTTAAAGGCTCCGCGAGAGGTTGAGGATGGAGCCGAAGACTTAGTCTCTCGCAACTTGGCTTTGCAACTAAATGCGCGGCTCGCTCTCCACCCGGGACTCCCGGCGCATTATGTAGAGCCCACGATACCAAAGACGGAGAGCGCTTCCTTCTTCTTTGTAGAGGGGTACGCAACGGAGGTGGCAAGGTGCCGGGATCTGAGCTTGCTAAAGAAATATTTGGCTAGATCCGTGTGGTGGCAGATCCTTTGCTTAATGAACTCTCATCACTTGCTCAGTTTAGGAGCTCCTTTTTGTTTGTTTGTTTTATAGGGGAAAGAAGTCGTTCAATATCTGCTTTTTTCTTTGGAGGGTTAATATTTTATAAATTTGTGGCCTGACATTTTAATTGCTCAAATGGAGCATCTCGGATGCTGAGAAGCACAAGTAGACTTCACTTCATTGTCATGACGCAATTAAAATAAATTCCCCTCAACTTTATCCTCTCTCATTGGTTTTAGCTAACTGGCCAGCCAGTGACCTGTCACACACCCGGTCATGAAAAGAGAGCAAAAGACCTGTCTGTCCGCTGATGGACAGGCACAGGCAGCCGCTCAGCTTCGCCTGTGCACACCCTCCGTACACACATGTAAACGCACATGTATCAGATGCACATTTGTCAATGTACACAGACAAAGACGTCCAAGACGATGCTTCTAGGTCACAGAACAGTTGAATACGGACTTCATTGTTCAAATTCTCTTTAAACATCCATATAGTCATCAAAACACACCGAGAGAGCCTGCTCCCAGTTGGAAATATCACCAACAGAACTCACAAGAACCACACACAAACCGTAGTCTTCCTCCAGAGAGTCACGGTAGAAAAAAACAGTACCCCAACCTATCTCACCCTGCTCAGGATGCTCAAGCCTTTGACATCGCTGTGTCTTTGAAAGTGTGCCTGAGTTTTGGACATCAAATATATAGAACCACCCCCAGGACACATTTGATTCCACGGACTAAACTTGCTGTTAGATTAGGACCAGTTAGTTGATTGTGAGGATTCCACATTTGTATGAGAAATCTGTGTTTAATAGGGAGTCCCTTGCATCAAGCCAAAACTTGATCCATAAGTCAAAATGGTTTATCAGCAATGAAATTATTTTCTCACAAAAGATGCTGGGGAAAAAAGAGGACACCACAAGGAGTGAATTGAGAACTACACAAGAGCATCCTTGACAGCATGAACATTTGGCAATGTAAAGTTACTTCAATAAAAATAAGCCTGTCGTGTAATTGCCATGGAGAGACTGCACTTTCGGGCAGTTTCTTTTACACACACAGGCAGGGTGTGAGATGAGGAGGACATGAAGATGTGGGCAGACAGAAGCTGGCTTTTCGGCAAGGAAAAAAAATCCTATTTTTTTTTAAAAAAGTCCTTCTTAGCCTTCTCTTTTTTTTCTACTGAAATCACATATTGCACTGAAGTGGCAGGTGCTGTAATTATTTGAATGTTTTAAGAAATAACAAGCTATAGCAGGTACTAGACTATCATAAACCTGGTGTGTTCAATAAGGTGGCCACACAGTAAGACCAGGCTGAGCGTCTCTGGCTGGTTAGAGATACCACATAACTCTCCTACAGAGAACAAGAAAGGAAGAAGGAAAAAAAAAATCAGAGAAGTCGGTTTTTTTTCTTTTAATTTTTCTGATTTGGGGAATTATCTGATGCTAAAAAAATATCAGATTATAGAGGCGAGCTCAGCATATAGTGAGCCTGAGGTTGACACAGGAAATCTAATAGGTATTCCCATCTCGACTTAATAGATGGGCATAATTGATTATAGAGAAACGTTAATCGTGCCTCTCCAGTGCAGCCATTTTCATGGCAAGATTACTTTTTGCACACACACGGAGATGATTTTTGAGGAGGAGAAATTTCATACATGTATTTATATGTATATGCATGTATATATGTACATATATATATTGAAGGCTATAATTTCATTAGGTAGAAAAATCAAGATTTTTCCCTTTTACAGAACTGTAGCCAGCTAGACACACGGCCACACAGCTACCATCAAGTCAGGGGTGCTTCACTTTGTATTTTTGAACTCATTTAGCTATAGAAATGCTATTTAGAAGGGGAAGAAAAAAAATCACCATATGAATTGTAGTTAATTTAATGAGTGGATGAAGAGACAGGACAGCCAGACTGAGGAATTTAAAAAAAAAAAAGCAAAAATATTTTTAAATGCCCTTTTCAAAGATGCTCAGTTGTCTTAACTCTAAGATTTAAAAATCCTGACTAAAAGATACCTATCTACATATTATTTTTTAAAAAAAACTTAACCAAGCCTTTTACTACAAATGTAAATTTATTTTAATGAGAATTGTGGCAAGCTTTATCTGACTGGTCAAAGTTAGGGAAAAAACCATTTGTCTTAATCTGAAAAAAAAAAAAAGTCTCTAACTCCCAGGAATATGGTTTCCTTGCAGAAAGTGGTTGGCTGGTCTGTAATTCTTTACAGATTAAATCACAATATGAATACAGACCCCAGCAATGCCGAGTTTAACTCTGAGCTCAGTAGAATCCAGGATCCATTGAATTTCTCCTCTCCCTCCATCTAGTCGTGTGTGTTTTTCTCTTCCACCACACTGGCGCTCCGTGAATAGGGAAGGGGCTTCCATTGTGTCCCTCTGAACTTCCAAGTCAATGCAATTTTTAACCACTGGCTTGTGGTACTTTGAAAATCACCAGGGGCTGTCAGAGTTGGGTCCTCTGAAAAATTTACAGTGCTAAATCAGAGCATATGCTGGGAGGGAAGAATTGCTTAAGATTGGAGCAAGTACAGTATCTGTCTGCCCCCTAGTGTAAGAGTCCTCGCTGCCTAAAACCCAACTTTATAAGAAAAGGAGCCCTTAAAGGGAAACGACTTGGGGCTCATGTAGGCATAGGAGAATGAAACTTCTGTACATTTTAATCTGAATAATTCTTCAGGATTTAAAATTATTTGTCTGTGGCTTGGTTGGACTGCACTCGGATCTCGCCGGTTCTACGTTTCTCGTTTCTCGAGTCACTGGTGAAGGGATGATTTTTTTTTTTTTTGAACTGGGTTTATGTGCGTCCCCCTCACCCCTCCTCTCTTTTTCTCTCTGCCTCTGTCGTCTCCCTCGCTGGCTTTTTAAAAATGAAGAACCGTTCCATGATCATTTTGCACACAGCACAGAATTGCTTCTTAAGTCAGCCCGGCGCGGTTGCAATAGACAGCAAAAAGGTAAACCGTTTGCCTGAATTCAGCACGCCAGCACCACCACCCCGCCCGATGGTGAGTACCCTTCTCCTTGCGATTCTCCTAGCTTAACAGAGCTCGCCTTCAGGAACCGCAGCCGAGGGCGCCGGGCAAGGGCTTTGGTCCCTGCCCGCTCGCCCGCCCGCCCGCCCGCCTGCCTGCCTGCCTGCCTGCCTGTCAGCTGCACAAGGTTGCAAAATGAAGCGCAGAGGCAATTCGAACAGGAAATTCTGTTACCTAAAGCCAGAATAGCAGCAGCCCCTTTGCTAACAAACCCAGTCATTTGCTGCTTGGACAACCAGGCTTCTAGGACTGGTTTTCGGTCAATTCTATGGAAGGAAATGAGTTTGAGAAGACAGGATGAGGAGATGGGAGGCAACCGCGGTCTTTATGCTTCGGTTTAATCATATTTTGGCAGCTTTGCAATTGTATTTCCCCCCCCTCTCCCACCTCTGCTACCACACACATGTAATAAAATATGGCAACGCGCTGAATTGACTGCCCCCCCACCCCTTCAACCACAGTCCAAGGCAATGCATACACGTTAGCAAACCGATTTTCTGGAAAGCCCCAAGTCATCCCCAAACCCACATAGCACAAGGAGAAAAGTGAGAAAGAGGAGAAAGAGAAAGAGAAATACAGTAAGCAAACATACCAAAACCATATTTGCCTTGTTCAAGGTCCCAAACGGCTTGCATCTTCCTTCTAAACTGGAATAACTCTCCTTTAGTTTGGCGGGTGAAATAAACGCTTTGTTGGCCCCCTGAAAAGATGTGTCTTTGATAATTAAAGAGACTCTCCTCCACGGTGTTTATCTAAGCGATTGTGCAAACTGATAAAAAAGTAGGCATTAGTCTGCAGGGAGAAAAGAGGAAAGGTGAAGGCAGAGCTCTTCCACCTCAAGGAAGTGCTTCCCTGTGTACCAGGCGCTCTCAGCCTTTGGAAAAGCCTGCACACTAACTTTAGAGAGAGACGCGGCTTCAGGGAGCTTTGTACATAGCTGCTGAGGAATGCAAGCCTCGCCTTTAAGAAAAAAAACCCCAAACCGTAGGTAGGAGATGTCTGGAGTGATCCTTGTCTCTCATCTGATGCCTTAGAAGGAAGAGTGCGTTGTTACACCTTGTTTGGGGCTGGAAAGAGGAGACTTTAAAAACACCCTTCCAATTGGAAAAAAAAAATATCTCCCAACTTAATGAGTTTAGTCGGAGGCTGGAGCAAACGGCTCAGCCTTAGCAGAAAACCGCAAACAACTATAAGCAATATTGCAAAGCAAGACAACTGGAGGCACAGCCAAATTCCACTGTTTGGGGTCGAGAAGGATGGAGGCTAATCCTAAAGCAAGTTGGAAAAAAAAAAAAAAACAGAGGTGGGAGAGGAGGGGGAAAAGCTGCAGCCTAGTAGACTGGCAGACAGGGTTCTCTCACCCTGGATCAAAGATAGAACTTGAAACAGGAGGCCAACATTTTTTCTTAGGAATCAGTTGGAATCTTCATTTTCTACTTTTAACTCAAATCGCCCCCACCCAAATGATTTTTCTTCCTCTCCCCTGTGGATTAGTGCCTCCCTCCCCTTTCTACTGTCCATTCTAGAACTTTCCTGAAGAGGAAATCTATTTCTTTTGGGGGAGGGGTTCCCCATTTCATGCCTTCAAATAATGAATACTTAATTCATTCCCTCCCTTTATCAGTCCCCCCCCCAAGACTAAAGGAAGCAGAGATACAATAACTAGCAAAAATTGAGAATAGACCGAGCTCCTTCTTGCAGTTTAGTACAGTTTTAACTAATGGATTTTTGTTGTTGTTGCTGTTGTTTTGTTTTAAGAGAAGAATAATGGGGAAACATGGATCTTTTATTTTAGGAAACTGTTATGGTTAGATGAATGTCAGACTTGACAAATGGAACTAGCGCTCTTCCCTGCTTCTTGTCCTTGTCTTAAACAGGAATTAAGTTAAACACAGTGCTGAATGTTAATTGCATGTTTACTGGCTAATGAAAATTACAAATGGTTTTGCCACCTCAAACAATGATGAAAACTCTGAAGACACTGTAATTATATACTTTGAGGGAAATAACTCAGAATATTGATCATAAGAAGTGTAAATCTTTTTTTAACTATTCATTAATACCATAAATATGGGCTACAGAAGTTTTTCCTTGCGGTTTGTCTCATCAGTTACCCTGAGTGGATGGCTGGTGGGACTCCTCCCGAGAGGAGGTGAACTCTGTCTCTCAGAAGGAGGCCACGTGTGTGACTCAGTGCCCCCTCCCTTCGCCCCGCCCCCTTCATCCTAGCGGAAGGTCCAGTGATCTCCAAGAGGGAGGCCCGGCTCAGGGCAGGTGAAGGTGATCTCAGTCCGGCCTCTCTCCTCTCCTTCTCTTGCCCTCTTCTCTCCTTCTCTCTCCCCCCCTCCTTTTTCTTTTTATGCCAGGTCTGATCGATGACCACGTTCCCCAGCCTGGGCGTCTCGGATAACCTAATGAAAGACCAATTAGACCTGGCAACTCATTGCCACCCAGAGATGCAGTCCTGACCACTCTAGCTCCCTCCTTCAGAGGTGGCTAGGGCACTTCATTGCCAGAGAAGGGGGAACAAATTAGGGATTGAGGTGGCCGTTGGATAAGGTGACTTAGGCACTGAACCAGAACTGGATTTTGGAGTAATTATTTTGTGGTCGCTTTCTTTCAACTTTAGCCAAATTTAGAACACTGGCAGCCACTCCAATCTTGAGGGTCAAAGGTGAGGGATACACTAACCCTAAAAGGCAGGCCCGCCTTGTCCGAGAGGCCAATCAGGCAGTGGCATGGGGGTGGTGATGAAAAACCTGCCTGGCTCTTAAGGGGGTGGGGGCGAGAAACACACATGCAGGAGCCCAGCCCCAAGTGCACGTTTAAAGTGAAGTATTGAAGATTTTAAAAGAAGTGTTCAAGGCTTGTGGGACTGGAGTCCTCCTTTTCCCTGAGAATTCCCAAGGCTCTGGTCTTTGTCTTAGAAGGAATGGGGTTTCTGAATGGTGTGAAAGGGACAGAGAGGGTCGCTTCCAATCGATTTTGCTTGTCCTTTCTGCCTTTTCGGATCAACGCCCTTCAATGGACACAGAGGTGCTCTTTCAACCAAAAACTTGTGCTACATTTTCTGCCTGTATTGGTGCTAAATACAATAAGCATCGGGTAGATTTTCTTCTCTTTGCTCTCCAAAGCTAAAAAAGAAAAAAAAAAACCCACCCTAATTAAATTGTTTTTTTTTTTTTTTCTGGACAGTCAAGACGGACCAATTAAGTATGCATTAGTATAAAGATAGACTGTGCAGATATAGCGTTTTAGAAAGCCACGGTGATGACAAAGGCGAGGGCACTGGGGTGTGGGGAGGAGTGCCTGGATCCAGCCTGGTCGCACCTTCTTCTCTGGGCCCCAGGGGAAATTGCAAAGGCCCAGGCCTCAGGTGAGAGGAAATCAGGCCAGTTAACAACAGGTGGCCGGGGTTGTGGCGGAAGACTTGAAGACCCGAAAGCCCAGGTCTCAGAGGAGAGGAGCCTCCCGAGGAGGATTATCCCTCACAGACGACAGCTCCCGCAATTTAGCAATCCCAGGTGGCAGGGATCACAGTACAAGACGAGGCCGTGCAGTGCCCACTCTGCATCAGGCCCACTTCCTGGGGTCCCCGGGTCAAAGGGAGGCTATGTAATCCTGAAGTTGTGTGGGTACGCCCGGGGTAGGCGCTGACACCGCAGCCACCTAGAATAGAATGAGTTTACATCAAAGAGTAGCCCCCCTCCCCTCTCCACTTCACAGCTAAGCTCTTTTTTTTTTTTTTTTTTTTTTTTTTTTTTTGCTCCTACGGAAAAGGACATCTACGGAAAGTTCCCACCAGACGACCTGCGCGGTCCGACTGGCGACAAGGACAAGATGTTGGAGGAGTAGAAAGGCCAGGGGGTCACAGAAACGGTGGCGGAGAAGCAGGTCTCTAACTGTTGCTGCTGCTCGGAGCTCCTCCATCTCTTTTCCATCCTAGGAGGCATGGGCGGGCGATGAGCCTCGTGTCCCAAAGGGGACGACTATCAAAGCAGGGGGCTGGGGCCTCCCTGCGTGGCTACACAGTTCTCTGATAGGTGGTCCTGGGCCACGGGGACGCTAGCGCGTCTCACGATCTCCGGAAAGGCTCTCGGGGTGCAAGGAGCGCCCTGAGAAGGGAAGGGGGGAGTGGAGGAGACAGTGGCAGCCGGCGGGAAGGGGCTGAATGTCAAAAGTAAAAAGGTTGAAAAGGCAATTTTCCAGATGCGCTTTGCCCCCCCCCCCACTTCTCTCTTACTTGGGCCTCCCGCCCGGGCTGTAAATCTACGGCCGGAGGCCAGGACACCAGGAGTTCCCTCGGCTGCGGGCCCGACGCGGCCCCGCCCGCAGAGCGCACACCTCCCGGTGGGCCCCGCATCGATCCAAAGCCTAGCTGAGGATGTCACCGCACTAAATATTTACTGATCACACACGAATAGCCAGGGCTCGAACGATTTTCCTCTGTGAGGAGAGCGCAGAGAGCAGGGTAAATCATTTTATTAGTGTGGATAAAGCCCAGAGCACACTCCGGGCTGGAGTGTTTTAAGATGTGTCTTCAACGGGATGAAAAGAGTTAGGGAAATCGATTCGGAGTGATTAGAAGCCCCCGGGGTGACGAAGGGGGACCTGACTTGCGGGGATTTGGCGGGGTGGAGTGGGAGGAAGCCAGCCCCGAGGGGAATCGGCGGGACCACCGCCTAGGAGCTCCAGCGCAGGCCTTGGTCCCTCTGTCCTCGACGGGAGAGGTGACAGCGCATCAACGGTAAGAGTAGGGCAGCCCGGCTTCACCGATAGGGCTGAGCGGGCCACTGCGGAGGGGCCAAGGGCTAGGGACTGACGAACTCTACACTGGGAGCGGCAGAGGCCAGGTGGCCACCGGAGTGGACGACTCGCGTGGAGCGTGGACCACGGACACGTTTCATAGCTTGTAGTGTCTCCAGGAAGCCTGGGTGGCCAAGGTGTGGCCCCAGTTGATTGTATTCTTATCC